ATCTGTATTACTTATTTAAAAAATATTAAATTAAAACAAATTTATTGTTGATCGTAAAACATGTGACTAGTAATAAGTAGTATAGTGATGCGTTTTTTTTGGAAGCCACTGTAATAAAAAATCGAAACAAAAACTGAAGCCAATCCCCTAATTTCTTGTTGAAATATCTCGTTATGAAGGTGGGATTGATCATGAACACAAATTATAAAAGTAAGAAAAATGGGAGGTCTTATTTTTGGAATAAAAAATATGTGTATGCTACAGTCGAAAAAAATAATAGTGAATCGCAAAAGCATTTAAAGTTTTGAGTTTATCCAATGAGACCCAACTCACGAAGATGATTTAGAATGACTATATATGGATTCTCATAATACCAAACGTATCTTAGAACAACACAATTTTCTTCGCAGAGTTTTTTTTTGATCTAATCACGCATTAACTGCTTTTCAAATTCTTTCGGATCTTTGTGAAAGTATTTTATGTGTTGTTCATGCTGTTTACCTTATACCTCGATGGCAAATCCATATTGTGGATAGTAGATGTCAAGTTCTAATTCTCAAAAATGTTCAGACGTTTTCAAGAAGTCTGAATGGCGAATGTTAGAAGGTGGGCCAAGAATGTTAGTTATGACTTCGCGACATAGATTTTCATATTTATTTAAGCAATATGGGCACCATGTCTTAGAGTGCTTTATACATTTATGATCCTTATTATACATCCATTGCATCGAAATACAGAAATTTATATATTCTGTAGAAAGACACATACCTCCTCTATTGTGAGCGATTTCCTTAGCTTCCGAAAGATCACAGGGAAAATTACCAGCACATTGTGAGCACCATCTTCCATATTTTTTACCCATAAAAGAGTTGTAGTCCATTCATGATCTTTGGCACATCTCCAAAGCATTTGAGTATTTGTATTAACATATTCTGTAGAAAGGCACTTACCACCTCGTTCTTGTATAACATTATTTGCTATATCAATATTGAATCATCGTTGACTACATCTTCGGTACTGTATATCATATCTTTGGATTGGGATACATTCTTGTTCTGATGTAATATGTCCTTGTACTGGAATAATCTTTTGGTTTGATACAACACATTTTCTGCCTGGTGTATTACACTTTTGGCACCAAGTTCCCTTAAGAATATCCTTTGCTGAAGCCTTCCACTTATGGTCTTCTTTACAATGCCATTCAAGAGAATCCCATCTATTAACATAATCAGTTACAAGGCAAAAACCTCCTTTCTTTCTGCAAACTTCTTCATATCTTCAATTATTTGAGTACGACGATTTTTAACTACACATCATGGGCACCATGTTTTTTCATTCTTTACACTAGTAAGTCTTGCCAACCATAAATGATCCTTAGCACATTTTCAAAGCATTGCCATCTGACAATTGATATATCTTTTAGAGATGCATTCACCTTCTCTGCTATAAGCAATTTCTTTAGCAATATCTAAAGTTAATTTTGCCATTAATATTTTACACTAGAATTTTAAAAGGCCGGTGGAAAGTATAATATTATTTTATTTTGTACTTTATTCCTCCCTTTAAATGTGATCTACTCCAATAACTTTTATTAGTTTTATTTTTTACTTAACCGATCAGCCCTTTCTTACATATTACTTTACAAAATTATCTCTTAAACTGTAAAGCAGGCAAATTTGCTTACAAATATAAAAAAAAGTATTAATTTTTTAATAAAAAAGAAAATATTAATATTAATAATATAATTATTATATAAAAAATATAGTTTAATATATATTTTATCAACTTTAATAGAAGAAATTTAAGTTTATTAAAAAGTTTTTTAAATAATTCAATTTTTAAAATTAAGTTTTGAAAAATTTATTATA